TTGCTGTACCCTTAAGGAGAAAAAAAAAAAAAAAATTGATAACACTTAATCTAATAAGTAACGATAATACTAATATATAATTTTTCTTTTCTCTTTTTTTTTTGCACTTTTTTTTTCCCATAATTTAGGATAGATTTAAATTCACGATACTGTATTCAAAGCTGCAAAATTCAAAATACTTTTTTCTCTTTTATTAAGTGAAATTGTTAAAAAAAAAAAACTTTCAAACAGGAATGTTGCCTAATTTTATTCCAATTTAACAGAACACATGCTAAAGTACAAATGATTTTTGTCAAAGGGAAGGAAAAATTTGATGTATTAGAAAATTGTGAGGAATGTTTGCTAAAAATATCAATGATTTAAATGTAATTTAAAATGATGTATACATATACATTTTATATATGTATAAATCAATCAACTAATTTTTAAAAAAAAAAAGAAAAAAGGTAGATGAAAAGCGCCAATGTTCAGTAAGGAAATTTTGATGTGATCATTTCAAAAACATTTTTCATTGCATTTCATTCAACCTTTATAGGTAGGGGAAAAACAAAAATGCATATAATTGCCAATATTTTTGTACAAAATAAAGTTGTATTTTTTATTATGTAATGAAAAAGAAAAGAAAAGAAAATAAAAAGAAAAAATCGATCGTGACATTATCACCATTTTTAACAAAAAAAAAAAAAAACAAAAATCAACTTTTTTTTCTTCTCTCTCTCTCCTCATCATTTCCCTACCACTTATTATTTATTTCTCAAATTTTATTTTTTGCTGCTTTATCTATGAATTTTTCACTTTAACGTTTATTTAAATTAATAAAAAAAGAAGAAAAGAAAACTTGTATAATGAAATAAATTACATGAGGAATGATTTAAATTCATAGATTTTAAAAATTCGCTAAATTTCGACAATCATTTAACAATTTAAATTTTCAAATAATTAAATTGCATTTCAGTTGCATTTTTCATTGCATTACACTGTTGAGCACATAATGAAACATCAAATCTTTCTTTTTTTTTTTTTTTACACTTTACATTAGACTATTTAAAGTAAAAAGTAAAATAAAGCAATGAAAAACTAAAAATCGAAATTAAAAAAATTAGTTGCAACTGGTTTATTCAAACAGAAAAAGTTTTAACTATCAAAATTTTAAAAGAACGAAAAACTTTGAAATTCATAGTTTCTTTTAAGAAAATTTTTAAAAAACTTTTAAGAATCCCCATTTTGAGTAACTGGATAAACAGGAAATGGTATGAAATAAATTGGTGATACTGTCTATTATCATTGCTATTGTTATTATTATTGTTAATTATTCTCATTCATTATTTATTATTATTACTATTATTATTATTATTATTATTATTATTATTATTATTATTATTATTATTATTATTATTATTATTATTATTATTATTATTATTATTATTATTATTATTATTATTATTATTATTATTATTATTATTATTATTATTATTATTATTATTATTATTATTATTATTATTATTATTATTATTATTATTATTATTATTATT